ATGATCTTAAGATCCGCTGGACTGTGGCTCTGCAGAATCAGGGTAGGCCTCTCTTTGCATAGTAGATGCTCCTTAATGTATTGAAACAAATTATAAAAATCTGTTACCAATGTTGATTTTTACATACTTGTAAACCTTTGTATGTAACAGAATTACATTCAATAAAAATGCAGTACACCCAGGATTTTCACCTTATTAAGTCTCGTATACATATTCTTTGCTAGATGTGTAAAATATGAAACATTGCAGTATTTGACTGCCCGTAAGGTTGAGCACTGGTTTATTTCCAAAACTGAATTAATAATTTGCAGTCATATTCCCCTTTGTCATTGCATTTGTGAACTGCTGCCCACTCATCTGTCTGCAGTGCAAGAAAACACTTTACAAATACAAATAAAGGCTTTTGAACTCCAAAACTCTAGAATGAATTTCTGATTATTGCTTCCTGTTTGGAACAGGTTACACTGTAGAGTCTCTGTGAGGTGTAGGAAAGGGCACTGAAAGAAAAGTGAAAGAATACTTTCTTCTGTTCTTATTTAGCAGTAGACACTGTACACTGTCACCAGATGTACTTTTCTGAAATGTTCCATCCTGACGTATTGTCTAACTGTCTGTCTCTCAGATTAAGACAGACAAGGAACATTCGTTCAACAGTGAAAAATTTACTGTTTCGTTTTGATTGGTTTTATGACCTGGAAAATGGTAAAAAAAAATGTGATTTTGTTATTTTCTGGGCAAGAAACAGATATATTTGTGACAAAAATGGAGGATCCCAATGGGTGCTGCTCACACCAAAGTTAAATATCCCCAGTGTAGAAGTCTTCCTGCTACTGTGTCGTCCTGGCTGTCGCCTTGGACAGAGGTGTGAAGGGTCCTGTTATCCAAGCTGTGCAGTCAAGCAGCTTCTCCTACTCTGCCAAGGCTAAAGCACTGCTATGTACAGGTAGAACATATTTATTTTGCAAAGGAACAACTAATAGGTTTATTCCCTGCTGAAAAGAGAAGAGAGAAAATACGTTTCAGCTGTGAAGCCTTCTTCAGGTGTGTTGTGCCCATGGCATGTTGGGATAGGTTCTTGTTCCCCTGTGACCCTGTATTGGATGAAGAGGCTAGAAAATAATTGAATTGAACACCTGAAGAAGGCTTCACAGCCGAAACTTTTTGTTTTCTCACTTCTCTTTTCAGCGTGGAATAAACCCATTACTTGTTCCTTTGCGGACTACGCATGCTGACGGTGCTACCCACCTGAACTACTTATTTCGTGCGAACCCTCCTTGGTATTGGAAAGCAATGAACGTTTTGTTGAACGTCATTGATAGGAATGGTGTTATTGACGGCTAAACGTAGTTACCAAGATGGAAAAGCGAAGCAGAACCAACAGAAAAGGACTTGTCTTGCTCAGAACGTGCCCTGCAGCTAGAGGAACAGGTAAGAGTAGGAATGAGAGGAAACGAAGAGATGATGACCAGATCAAGTCCTTTAGCGCTGGCCTGACGCCACTGCGTGTTCTTTACGACTGCTGTACAACATGCTGGCCAGGAGTCTGTTACCCCCCACCTGCATTTTCCAGTTCGCGCTCCTTGCTTGGCGCTGAATTATTCAGGACTCTGCAAAGCTGCGCATGAGATCTCGGGTGGGTTATTTGCGGTTTCATAGTTGCACTTCAGAAATGTGTGGGCTTGTATGTGCGTTGTGGGGGACATACAGAATAAAGGCACTTACCCTGTATGTTCCCGTATGGACTGAGTTTCTGTTTCCGTTTTTTAAATAATTAAAACGAATGGGATTCGTCCTTAAAATGATGCCAGCCTGGCAGGGATTCTCAGTTTTCTTTAAAGCTGCTTTGAGAGCTGTTACTGTGC